TGGGACAGCCTACTGCACCCTGAGGCTACATGGTACAACCTTTTGCTCCCAGGCTACAAACCTGTATGACATGAGACTGTACTGAATACTGTAGGCAACTGTAATATGTTATTTGTGAGTCTAAGCATATCTAAACATAGAAAAGGTACAGTAAAAATATAGTATAAGAGATCTAAAAGGGGTGCACCTATCGAGGGCACTTACCACAAAAGGGTTTTGCAGAACCGGAAGTTGCTCTGAGTGGGTGAGTGTGCAGTGAGTGAATGTGAAAGCAGAGGACATCACTGTACAAACTATAGACAATAAACACTGTACACTGAGGCCAAATTAATAAAACATTTAAAAAATAATAAATTAGCCTTAGTTTACTATAGCACTTTTATTTTATGAACTTTCGATTTTTTAAACTTCTTGCCTATTTTGTAACAATAGCTTAAAACACAAACACTTTATAGCTGTACAAAAATATTTTCTTTCTTTATATCCTTATTCTGTAAGCATTTTTCTGTTTTTAAAAACTGTCATTCTTTTTTTAAGCTTTACAGCACACACATTAGCCTAGGCCTACCTGGGATCGGTATCATCAATATCACTGTCTTCTTTCTCTACATCTTATCCTGCTGGAAAGTCTTCAAGGACAATAACATGCATAGAACTGTCATCTCCTGGGAAAACAATGCCTTCTTCTGGACACCTCCTGAAGGACTTGCCTGGGGCTATTTTACAGTTAAGTGTTCATTGTTTGAGTTCTCACTCTATTGCTCAGGTTGGACATCTGGGGCTCAGATGATTCTCCTGCCTTAGTCTCCTGAATAGCTGGGACTACAGGCACGTACCACTACGCCCGGCTAAAGTTTTGATTTTTTTATAGCCCAGGCTGGTCGCTAACTCCTGGGCTCAAGCAATTTGCCCACCTCGGCTTCCCAAAGTAGCTAGGACTGTTTCATAAGTAGACGAGTACACTCAAAAAAACTATTAAAATGTATAGTATAGTAAATAAACCAAGCGTTATGCACTGTACATAATTGTATGTGCCACGCTTTTGTAGAGTGGCAGTGCAATAGGTTTGTTGACATCATCACACCACATACCCATAAGGAATTCATAGTGCTATGACATCACCATGGCTACGAGGTCACTAGGCGATAGGGGTTTTTCAGCTTCATTATGATCTTATGGGAATACCGTCATACATGCATCTGCCGTTGACTGAAATGTCATCAAGTAGTGCATGACTTTTTTAAAGAAAGTTATAACACTTCTCAGAGGTCATCTTGCCTTTCAGTTATTTTTTCATTCCTCTATTTCCTCTGAAGAGGCAAATTACCCCTTAAAAGGCTTCATGTCTTACCTGTGTCCCTAGACCCTATGACTTCCTGCGGTCTCTTACACACAGTGGGTGCTGATACTATTTATGGTGTTTGCTTCAAAACCATGACCCACAAGAGAGCATTATTTCTGGTGGGGCCTTTAGTACCAATCTTTTATCACTGTGATAATTAAGTGAGCAGTTCTCTTTTGTTAAGAGCTCTCCATGGATGTGCCTTTTGAGAACTGCTTTAGAACGTTTTAATTTTTGTGAGGTCTAATATATTGCTCTCTTCAGAGCCTCCTAGATAAATCAGAACTTCTCAAGGAAGCATTGGTTTGGTATCAAAATAAATATAATGTCTGGATTTAGCCACCTTTAGTTTCAACTTATTCCTGCTCCTCTTAAGGCAAGTTTTATGTTTTCAGTAATAATAAGTGATTTCTCATTGACTCATAGAGTGGGGGACTTGTGAAATGTTTTGAATCTGAAAGACTCTGGGACTCCTCTGGTACTAGGGGATGAGCCTGTGAGATACACTTATCTGCACTTTGGCAAATAGAGAAAGAGGGCCTTGTAATCGACCAAAAAACCTCAGAGGAGAAAAAAATAATAAAATCAAACTTGTTTATGGTTTGTCAGTCCAAAAGCTTTTAAGCCATATCTATAAAGGTAGATCCACTTAATGTTTGTTCTGCATTTCAGGAGACATGTGCGATAAGTGTTGTAAATTTAGTCCCTTTAAGCCTGATCTCCTGGGGCTTGCGATTTAAGTGTTGGGACTTTATTTGAAAGGACTCTATTGATTGGGCGTTAATTTGGCCCTTCCTTACTAAAGAGAGGTACTAAATAATGGCTCAGCCTTTCTATTAGCTTTTTTTTTCTTTTTTATTCACTTCTATAGGCCTCTCTCTCCCTGCTTCCCCACACTCCACCTTCTAACTATTTGGGTTAAAAAGACTAAAGTGGTACGAGAAAGGGGAAAACAGGGAAAGAAAAATCAACTGTCGCCTTGTGAACATAACTGATTCAATAAATAACGTCTGTCAATTCCCAAGGCAAACTCAGAGTCTTCACTTATGTCAATTAGTGTTCAGCTCAATAAGTGGTGGCGCTCCTAATGTAGAGGGATGGAAGAGTTCACAGGTTCTCACTTCCTTGTTCTTGTTTTAAACGCATACTGTCTAGATTTATGCACCTACTCTGCAAAAGAAACTTGGAAGGGTATTAATCTGACAGATTTTATTTTTCCTGAAAACAGAAGGAGGACATTTAGTTATCGTCCATGGGTTCGTTGGAGCAAAACAGTGAAACAGGGGAATGAAATGTGGTGAAACCCATTAGACTGTAAGCTCTGTGAAGACAGGGCCTTTGTCTTGTTCACTTACCATTTAATCTCTAGTGTACACAGAAGGTGCTTAGCAAATATTTGTTAACTGGATCTGAGGCTGAGCGAAGAACAAAAATGAGCACCAGCTAGGTCTTCTGTTATGAATTCAGTGACGTTTCTTCCCACTCATTGTTTCATTGCTTGTCCCAGCCCTTCTCTCCTCAGTTCTTTAAAGTCAAGCAGCTCTAAATGTATGGTACATACTGTATCTTCAGAAATGATGGAGGAGATCCTATTTCATCAATTCCCACACTGTTAGAGTTGGAAAGGATCTCAGCGGTAGCATGAAGCTGTGATTTACAGATTCTAGTACATCAACTCATTGTGCTCAGAATCACATGAGGTATGGTATAACATGAAGATTTCAGGCCTCAGCCTCAAAGTTTCTGATGAATCTGTTGGTAGGGCTTGGAAGTCTGTTTGCTTTTATGGATTCCCATCGTCATGGTGGTGTGCGGCAGTTACAGGAAACACCAGCCCAGGCTGCCTGGCTGTCTTCTGACCTCTGTAGTCTGAGTTACTCCTTGCCAAGAGTGATCGGCCTGACGTGCCCAGCAGCATGACTGGCAACACTTGGACTAGAATCCGGGTCTCTAGGCTCAGCTAATGGTGCTCCCAGCCCCGTGGTTAGCTACGACAGTTTAGCCAACACCTCGTGCTACTCAGCATTCTCTTAAGACCCTTTAATACTTATTCCTTCTAAGACAGTGGCAGTGTGTGTGGTGATGGCCAGGCAGAATCTGAAGCAGCTTCTGGATCCTTAAGGGCACATTAACTGCCGTTCAGTCTACATTGGTGTTAGAGATATTTTATTGTGTTCTCTAGTGATACATTTGATGACCCTCCATCCTTACCCCTTGGCTCAGACCCCAGTTAGGAAGTCCAGCCTTTCTCCTGTAGGCTTCTCAGTGCTTGCCAGCCCTGCCTGGTCATAAGAAGATCATATGAGTACTTGTTGGATGTAGAGAGCTCTGGGGCCTGCTCGAGTCCTATTAAATCAGAATCTTCCTGGAGGGGCCTGTATTTTAGGTTCCCCATATCACTATTACTCTCTCACCAGTTCACTTTCCAGGCTCTGAGAATAGCCAGTCTCTTTCCCCTGGGCTCAGCTTTGATGGCCTTGAGACCCTAGTCTATAGTTATATCATAACCCTGTCTTCTCATCTAAAGGTTTATCCCCTGGTCTGCAGAACTTGCCCTTGAAGGAGAAAAGGAATTCCTGCTTTCTTCTTTATTCTAGGGTAGAATTTTCCTGGGCAAGGTGGTGGATAGATAGGTTGGTATGGACCATAGTGGAATGAGTGTTGCAAGAAAGTTAATGGGTACCTCAAAAACAAAAGGTAGTGTCTGTGCTCTTTCCCTGGCTTTATTACTTAACAGGTATATAACTTGGGGCAAATTACTTAAACCTCTTGGAGTTTCTGTTTCATGATCAGTAAGATGCAGTACTCATTTAGGGGTTTTGTGTGTAATTACACAAGGTATCCTTGGTCATTTCTTGGGACACAGTCTCCGAGATGGAGATTTGCATGCGGAGGGTATTGGAGAGAGCTCTCAGGCACAACTCTGGTCAGAGGGTGAGGTGAGAAGGATGAGTAGAAGGTAACATTGAACTGTGAAGCATTTGCAACAGGTCTCAGCCAATCCCATGGGGAACTTGGAGGCAGGATGCCCTTCAGTGTTGGCCTGAATTGAGGGAAGGGGGCTGGGTCTTTATGCCCCTCTAACTGCCAGTTATCTGATGTGGGCTGCCCCTGGAGAGGGGCATGACCTCAGATCAGGCAGCTTTCTTTGGCTGAGGGTGGCTGTGTGGCAGCCGCGGCCTACAGTGCTGGTGGTAGGGGAAGGAGTGCTTTAGTCCTGGAGGGGATCTCCATGGTGTCCTCTGGCACCCACCACCCCAGGTAATGCCCGTAAAGCCCCAGCAGTGAGTCAAATGCGTTTTTCTGGTGAATATCAACTATTGCATTATCATTCAGGCTCTGACAAAACCTCTCAGTAGCTGGGCCACTTTCAAGAAATTACTTAATTTCTCTTGGGCTTTTTCTGATGTTTAAAATAGAGACCCTCAACTCTGTTCTGTCTACCTTCCTGAGTAGTTCTGAGCACATGTGGAGATAATGTATGTGGAATTGCTAAGTAAAACATTATACAAATATAACATATGGCTATAAGCCCGCTTTTTTGAAATGACTAAATGGCCAAGACCTGGATCTTTTGAAGGGAAAAGGTTGTGATACGAGTAAAAGTGCTTGTCTATGAAATAGGGCATTTGATTTTTTTTTTTTCTTCTCTCTTCAGGGAATTAGAATCATGGAGATGCTGCTAAAGGAACAGTGTGGTGCCCCCTTAGCTGAATGAAGAATCATCAGTAAGTACCAGGAGCAAAGTCAGAATTGTTTACTCAAGTCGTGTTTTCATGCTTATAAGCCTGGCATTCTGCATCTGCCTCCCTGAGCTATCCACACTATACGTTTCCCAGTTATACACACAGAATACCATTTCACAGGTGTTTTATCTCTTCAATACCTTCATTTCTTTAGTTCTTTGATTTTCAGAACAGTTTTGTGTTTCATGCTGGGTTGCAACTGCATTCCAATTGTTAAAACTGTGCAGCACGAGCTATCATGCTTGGAACTCAAGGTGGCATGGATTTGTAGACCGCAGCTCAGCTTGACTGAGGCTGGATATTGTTCTGAGAACAGTCAAAGGAAGGATTTGAAGCCATAATTGAAGCAGGGAAGAAAACCAGAAAGGAGCATGTTGATTGGCCAGTTAAACAAAGACAGTTTATTAGTCATTTACCTCCAGTGGTTGGGATGGCTGCCTGAGATGTTATTGAGAAGGATTTTCGGGCTTGAGAGTAATTCTTAGGCTCTGGGTAATAGTGCCTTGATTGATTAGCAATGTCTTCCATGAGTGCCGGATGGAAGCAAGACTGAGCTTGTGATGCATGTGCCACCTCTAGTTTAGGGCAAATGGTGTTGGGTTAACAGCAGAGGATTGCATAACTACTCAGTTTCTCCCCAGCCCCCCAAATTTCTGTTCTCTGCATTAATGAGAATGGTCTTTACAGTGGAAAGGGCAGGTCAAGGTTATTTAAGAGCAAATCAAAGCCCAAAATAAATGTGTATGACGGATTTACATCTGATAGAATTTATAAGATTTAGGTTTTTAACATCTGAGAAAAGATAAAACCTTTGAATAAAACATTGCGAATTACTTAAAATTTTTTATGTTGACTTTAAAGTTCAGTACATGTGATTTTATGTAAGCAGTCTGATAGTCTAGTTGTGAGGTACAGTAAGGTTTGAGAGCAGTTAACCCAAGAAGAAGCAAAAGAACCATTTGTATACACTACTTTGGAAGTGCTGGCCAGGCCTGTGAATAATCATCACCTGGAGAATTGCAAAGTGTCTCTGTTTGCAAGTTGGATTCCATTCTGATTAATATATACTGTATACTTAACACATGTTAATAGATTTCATTATTGCTGGAAAGGCCGAACAAGATAACATGATAATTTCTTTCTTTCTTTTTTTTTGAGTTGGAATCTCACTCTGTCACCCAGGTTGGAGTGCAGTGGCACACTCACGGCCACCCCAGTGTCAACCTAGTGGGTTCCAGCAATCCTTCTGTCTCAGCCTTCCAAGTAGCTGGAATTACAGGAGCATGCTACCATGTCCAGCTAATTTTTTAAAATTATTATTTGTTGTGGAGATGAGGTCTCATCAAGTTGCCTGGGCTGATCTCAAACCCATGGGCTCAGGCAATCCACTTGCCTCAGCCTCCCAAAGTGCTGGGATGACAGACTGAGCCACTGAGCCCGGCTAAGATAATTTCATTTAGCACAGCCATGCACACAGCAGGTGCTCATAAAATGTTGGAATTGAATCTAAAGATATAGGCTTACTATAATCATCCTGTTCCTTAAAAAATTATGGAGAAGAACTTGGCCACGTCTCCCTGTTTTTCTAGGCCAGCATGTTGGTGGGGCGCACTAAGCACCTCTTGTGCTTGCACACTTGGGCATAGAGCCCCTCTGACCCTGGTGGGTGGGATCTAGAGTCAATTTCAGATTAAATGAGGAAATGAGGGGCCTTCACTTCCATGGGAAAGGTATATATACCTGTTGGTCTTCAAACTTCAAGTTAGTGATTTTGAAACTTCAGTGAGCTCAGAATCATTGGATGGTTTGTTAACATGGATTGGTGGGTCCTATCCTAGAGTTTTGATTCAGTAGGTTTGGGACAGGACTGAGCATTTGTGTTTCTAGCTCATTTCCAAGTAGTGATGATATTGGTCCTGGGACCACACTCGGAGAATGGCAGCTTCAAACGAGTTCATGTCTTTGGGCAGAGAAAGCTTGAATGAGAAAGCTGGCAGCTAGGGTCTTGAAATCCTTGTCATGTATTTAGTCAACTTTAGATTAATAGGAGGAATGATTATCTTTGTTTGGCTTTTCCCCGATTTGAGTATCTCAACCCCTTCTTGTTTGCCTTTTTTGTTGTTGTTGTTGCTTGAATGGTAACAGGCTCCACACTGGAATAATACAGCAAAAAAGAGAGGAGGTGAGACTCACATCAACTTCTGTTTTACATCAGGCTGGATTTCAAGTGTTGCTGGTGGAGATGAGAAAACTAAACAAGTTTCCAGCATTACCTGTTGTCTCCAGTTACCCATGTTTTTGTGTGTATGTTTTGTTGTTGTTTTCATACTGTGGTTGAGGACTAAGCCATGAACTCAGGGCTCTGTATAGTTTGTGAAAAGCAACTTATTCTTCTCTCTTAAGTGAAGCCATTGAAGTCTGAATACTACTAGGAGTTTAGTACAAGGTGGTTGCATTTAAGGCATTCAATGCAGTGGAATTCCTGAAGGAGTTACATAATTCAAACTCTCAAAAGTCATGACCGGTTTTCTCAGAGTGTTGTGGGAAAACAGAAAGACTGTGTGACACCGAGGTTATCTTAGGAAGCAACGTTTTATTAGCGCCATCGTGACTCAGTGGGCTAATGCTCCAAGGTTGAGCAACCCGGAGACAGAGGAAAAGGGTTTTATATGTTAGTTTAGATAAGTGAGGGGGTCGGGTTGTATGGCTATACATTTTTCTTTGGAATTTGCAAAACTGTATTTAGCAAAACCAGATTTTCAAAGAACAGATTGTTTCCAGGGACAGATAGGAGTTATAAACCAATAACTTCCCATGTCTAGCAGGTTTGGAACTTGCAGGTTGATTTTTAAAAAGGAATACTTTGGCTGGGTGCGGTGGCTCATGCCTACAATCCCAGCACTTTGGGAGGCCGAGGTGAGAGAATTGCCTACGTCTGTGGGTTTGAGATCAGCCTGGGCAACTTGGCGAGACCTCATTTCTACAATAGATCAAAAAATTAGCTGGGCATGGTGGTATGTGCCTGTAGTTCCAGCTACTTGGAAGATTGAGGCAGAATGATCACCTGAACCCAGCAGATTGAGGCTGTGGTGGCTGGGAGCATGCCACTGCCCTCTAGCCTGGGTGAAAAAGTGAGACTCCTACTCAAAAAAAAAGGAATTATTTTAACTGCTTCTAGTCCCTCTCTGCCACAAGAGGAATAAATGTATAGTAGGAAATATATCTTACCACATAAATCTACAATTTGATGTTGTAGTCATGTGGCCAACTTGTTCCTCCTGTCCCCCATTTTCTTGACTATTTCGACAAGGTTTTTAAACTTGAAATGTGCTTGTTTAAATGGAACTTTTTTTTTTATAATCAATATTTTTTATTATGATATTGTGGGGTACAGTTAAGGGTTAGGTATACAAATATGCTTCGTTAGGTATACACATATGCTTCATTCAGGCGTTGTTGATAAGAGGTGTCTCCCCTATGGAACTTTTTATTTTCTCAAAAATAGCTGTATGGAAAATAGGGGAGGGGGACATGATTGTAGGCACTACTGTTTTTATGAGTAGCAAAATGCTGCCTTAAAGGAAGGGAAGGAATTAACTCTGTAGCTATAGAGGTAAGAAAACTATAGCCCGTAAACCAAATTCAGCCTGATATCTGCTTTTATAAATAAAGTTTTATTGGACTGCAGCTATGTTCCTAGTTATGTTTAAAGCTACAACTGCAGAATTGAATAGTTGTAACAGAGACCTTATAGCTTCAAAGCCTAAAATATTTACTGTCTGGTCCTCAGAGAAAACATTTGTTGCCTCCTTAGTGTCCTAAATTAATATCAAGGAGTGTTGTGGTGATAGTTTGGCCTTTTTAGATACAACATTTGATCAGACCTTACCTCCACTCCAAAGTTCATAGCTTGACAGTTTATTTTTTCTGTATTAGCTCTAGCATCGGCACTGTGGAAAGACTTGGATGATGTTATATTAAGGCATAAAAAGGTATTAAAATGATAATAACATGAAGTTAAAATACCAGCAACAGTGGGCACTAAAATTGCTCATAAAGTTTCAGGGCACGCACACACACAATGGAGCGGAAATACGAGCATTTTGCTTAGTACATACGGGGGCGTGGACGAGGGGCGAGGGCAAACAACTCAGAATTTATTTATAAAAAATTGTGTATTTATTCTTACATGTTTAAACTTCTGTCACCTTCAAAGTACTCTCTGTTTGATGCAATATACCTGTTGAGATGCTTTTCTGCTGCCTCAGAACAGTTTTGAGCTTGTCAATTTTGATGTCTTTTAGTGCTTCTGTTGTTTTTTTTTTTTTGTTTTACCTCTTCTACATCAACAAAACATTTCCCTTTGAGAACTTTTCTCATCTAGGGAAACCAAAAAAGTTGCTCAGGGCAAGATTAGGTGAATAGGGAGGATGGGGCATGAGAATCACACTGTTTTTGGTCAAAAACTGCTGAACACTCAGTGCAGTATGGCCAGGTGTGCTCGTAAATCACCCATCATGACATGGGCAAATGCCTTGAAAGAATCATATATATATCACTAAAGCTAAATGCAGCCTGTCACAGCAATGCTAGCTGGTACACTGATGCTGATGGGTTCCTAGGACACTTAGTTAAGTGGGGGAAGCCTGTACTACAAGGGGTCTACCCTCCAAAAAACAATTCTGGGTTTTTTTGGGTCCCTCCTCATAAAGTGGCAATAGTATAGGTGCTGATTATAATTTACTCAATGTGTTGGCTTTGGAATTTTGCATTTCTTAATTTTTAAAACACAGTTTGTGTGATTTGCAAAAATGTGCATAAGGAGCATTATTTAATAAAATTTTATATCATACTACATTTCAAATTTGCATAATTTAAATCCACATAGAATGTATCTACCTTGTATATTGCACCTAGCATTAAAAACACTCCAGAGACCTCTCTAACCTGTATGTCCAAGTGGATGTTTGAAAATTAGAAAG